GAGTTTTCTATAACAGTAAAACCTAGCGGCAAATATCAAATATCGAAGGCGACTGTTAATATCATTAAAATCATTTCCTAGTTATTTTTCGGAAGGGTAAATTTTTCAGGCTTGTGACAGTGGTCATAATTGCCGAAATATCCTTCTTTAGCTTGACTAAAGTAAGTCCTATGTGTGAACTATGCTTTATGTGGTCGTTCAGTTCAATGAATTATGTATATGAGTGTGTGACAACACCGAACGACACGAAATATCAATGCTCATTTCGTTGCTGTATATGGTGTGTGTAATTGTTTACATTTCACCTATGTAATGACTCTGAAATCTCTAAAATTTTAAATACATCTAAGTATAAATAACCCTAAACTTTATTCTTGCAAAGTTTACATAATTGTAATATCTTGGAAATGCCTTCGTGCGTTTTCTACAGGGTCTCGTGCGTGCTGTAGCCGCCATGTTTCTCTTTCTAAGGCCAAATTGTGCAGTTATTGCGGGGGTAAATTCAGTGACAGCGCCGCATGGCTATTGCACCAGGCTACAAAGCACCTGTGAATACAATTGAACATATTCATTGTTACGTAAAGGAAATACACATCTCGAAAAAAAGTAGCAACACCGATGGATTTTAACCCCCATATAGCTATTTACAGTCACATCATAATTATGTTTGTTTGAATGGTTAATTGTACCCTTCTGCTGCCACATACACTGATCTTAGATGCACACGTGAAACGGCGAAAGATGAGCATCACATGCAATCCGTGTGTCCATCATTAAGCAGATAAAAACTTTCAGTAAACTGTTCTTACATTTCGAATCAATTCATTTCGTTGTTAATAAGCACATGTTGGGCCTAGTTGCCTGACAACTAGTCAGGGAGAGATGTTGGTTCATCCATCGACTATCAACCTATTGGCCAGAAATTGGCCGTAAGCGTTCATGTCGACTCCAACGGAGGGTAGAACCTTTCTGAGAATCACAAGACATCAGCCGTTCATTTCAAGTGGTTTATACGATGTGGCTTTCACATCGTCGTTTGACCATCGTCCATTATAGGGGTAACGCTGTTTTTTCAGGACATTATCCTTTGCAGAAGCCCCAGAACTTCAATTAACTGTCCGACGTAGGAGGGCAGTTGAAAGACCGTGGACTTCTGCAAATGACAATGCCCTGAAAATGAGCGTTACCCCTGTTATATAAAAAATGGATGGAGTTTGCAACGGGTTGTTGACCCAACCCTGTTATGTCATGGAACAAGATTTATGACATCATTATGGAGTGTGACATTTGACCTTGGCCTACGCCATTTATGGCCGTCATAACGTCAGTTTTCTGCGTTCTTATTAGGTCCAAAGATGTAGTTTATTGTGTAATTACTGACATTCGCACCAGAAAGCAAGCTGGTATTACGTGCATAGTGGAAAACAGGATTTGGAGCCAGAAAGTCAGGTAAACTCGACATAATGTCGAACGTACCGTACCATAAGTCATGTCAACATGTTCAACACATATATTTGGATGTTGTTCTAAACCGTTGGCCGGCATCTTGGGTGACCAAACACCCAGAAGGATTTCACTTTATGCTCTTTTCTGTGTGTTGTTAAATCCCGAGATGTAGTGCTTCAGAGACTCCTCTGATCTGTGCTTGTTTATGTTACATATTTTCTTTGTTGCAATTGTTATTCCACACGCCAGATTTCTCGAAACACTTCAGTGGAGATTAAAAAGGGCATAACAATCCGGATGGAGTTTGGACGAGTAGGAAAGATACATGCTGACTGGATCCTTGGGAGTCCAGAGAGAGCACTGGATCATTAAGTGTTGCAAAATACTTCAGAGAGATACTCCAGTACAAACAAGAACAGGCACTCAATCAAGAATGTAAGACAACAACTCAGCGTCTGATACAGTCAATATTGACACTGTACACGTAATTATATGATTTCCTGAGGGTTGTCTGACATAATCTTGAAAATGTTTGCTCCTGTTAACGTCATACGACGACACAAAATACGTCACTTTTTTACATCTATGATTCTCTGAATGAAACTGCAGCGTTTCTTTCTTCTTGCGTTAGATTTGTCATTTAATTATTCCTTGAGGGCCAATATGTCCCAAAAGTAAGTTAAATTGAGGTTTGGATAAGTTCCTTGCTATTGTTAATGGTAACATATCGATGCTATAAAATATATGGGGTTTTGTGATACATTTTGTTCAATGCGTATAGACGCACTGAACGGCCCAATTACTTAACATTCGTCTCAGAAAAGCATATTATTCATATCAATGTTCCCACAAGGCACATGATACATACATCAATGTCCACATACGGCACACGATTCACTTCAATGTTGAGACAAGATTCATCATCCATATCCATGCTCTTACAAGGCACAACATATCAATATATTAAAATTACCACAAAGCACATTGTACATCTTCTCTGCTCTAAAATTCCACCACAACATTTTGAGTTTCAACCATAAGGCATACCACACATATTAATGTGTAGCTCATGGAACATACATAGCTAAGTCTCCCTCTAATAAACAGTTATATTGTGAACGGCACAAAAACATATTGTGCAACACCTCGCACACTAAAGATATAAATGTGTACCGCACCATGCAATAACACATAGATATGAGGCATTCTCAAAATTCATGTAGGCATGTAGGAAAAAACTGTAAATTTTGTTTGCTTAGTTTTACCTTTAAATGTTGTTGATTACGTTTATAGTATTCTGAATATACAAAACATAAATAATGCCAGCTTAATAACATTTCATTTGTCCTGTTTTACCCTTTTCTCCATAATTTTATTACTGTAACGTGTAGCATACACTAAGAGAAATAGGATACCATAAAAAGAGTATTGATTTTGACTTAAGTTTGTCGGGTACAAACATATAACATCAACTAGTTTTTCAACTGTCAGTTCCCAACACATTATAGCACTTTTGAGTGGTTCGACCAGAGCCTAGCGCTCTATAAATATTTGTAATATAAATAGATAAAAACTTTTGAGAATGACTCATATAAACATTAGGCACTTAGATCAATCATGTCTAATCCAATTAGACATTTGTATAGCGGTATATCTCCAGATTCCGTCATCGTATGCGCTCAGTCGTATGCTCTTTAGAAGAGAAGAATGGTTTTAAGAGAAAGCTGTTGATATTCTCAGAATTTGTTCTTGTACTTTCTGACAATGCTTTTAAGAGGACAGTCCTTGCCCCAGTGAATGGTCTGTCCCGTATGTTGTGGTATAGAAGATGTAGCAGGCAAGCGTTGTTGACTAGCTGATCTAAGTGTCCTTTCAGACTTGGGAAGACTGACTAGTTCTTGGAGACAGACTGCAGAAAGTACATTAACGGACATGTAAACAAACACTAGATGTTTCCATACAACTCTCTCTTAGCCAGGTAATGTGCACATAAATATCTGTGTATTATGAGACTGACAGTCACACACAGTGACCTTCTGCAGGTAACGCGACTAGAGTAGACTGTTGCAGTATTCCAGACGTGATGTAACACTTGACTAAAGGTGTATCCATATATCTCCTTATCCGTCTTATGGTCTGAAACTCATAGTATGCATCATTGGAAATGTCGCCGTTAAAGTGGTTCGAGCAATGGTTTCTGCCTGATCGAGACTGTTTCCAATTTGAACTCCAGTGACCTTGAATTCGATTTCGTCAGTTTCGTCTACAAGCACAACACGTGATACATAATACATGTAAGACTATTACATATTATACATACTATTTATAAACGTTTAGCACAAGTTACATAAGACACATAATTGAGTGAGCAAGTGAATTTGTTTGAACGATTTCACAGGATTCTGGCGTTCACGAGGGATGCAACTCTGCCACTCTTAGTACATATAGACGTGGACGTTTACAGAACATTTGTATACTGATGGTTGTGATAATTACTTCTCTTACCATCACTGTTCCTTTCAGAGCGCACAAATGTAATGTATCTCACAGCTTTTGGTTTCCTTTCATTCATTATATTGGTCCAGTATGGCACAAATTAGTTAGCAGCTTTAACTCCAATAACAAAGCGTCTGTCGAACAAATGAGATATGTTTTCCCTGATAAGTTCACAGCCAGCATAGGTGTGTTGTTGATGACACCGCCGTCCTTGAGCCCACCAAACACACAATGACGATCCTCTACTCAGCCAATCAACTGTTCCCAGTGCGTTGATGGTGACACTGGACGTGTTCATGCACCCAATTCACAGATAGATCTGAACCTGTCACGCAAACTATAAATAACTTCGTCTCGTTGTTTTCGTTTCCACACTGAGTATGTGAAGCCATTCGTCAGGTTTTGACCCCCGAACTCGGTTAAGAGACAAAGGTACGTTTTGCTATTCATATCGGATTTCAGGTGACGATGAGTACTTGTTAACACTCTATCGATGTCTACGCCATCCCTATGTCAGTAATTGAGTTGATTTTAAAACTTAAAACATTATCATAAATTGAACATAAAATTCTAAACGTATATTCAATAAAGTGCTGCCAACGACGATTTGTGATGTGTTGAGAGGCAACACTATATTCGAAGTAAATGATTGGGCTAAAGAAAGCAAATTATACTCTTAAAAATTCACACTTCATTACATTTCAAATGACAACCAACATGGTGACACACCATGTCCACGTCACCTGTTGACAGATACCTATTACCGTGTTGTGTGTAATATTGCCTGTGCTACCCACACCTATTACATCACCACTGAATAACCATTTCTAGCTATTACCAACGAATGTTACCTTCTTTTGACTTTTTCACCCTTCACACATGTTTACCACTGTATGTGTACACCTGGTGAAAAAAATACAATTGACAGTTTTGACATCGTTAATGTCTAACTATAGGTTATGACATATTAGGGTAAAGATGTTAGAATAGTTGCTTGTCTTCCCTCACTATTTCGTACGACGTCTACGACACCTACCTCTTTCATCTTCCAGAAGATGATGACATTGCAAGCGACCCAGACCAAGACGATGGATGATGCCAAACCAGCTGATGACAAGGATGTATTTCATTCACATTGTGGAGTTGGGTCATGCCGTCCTCAAGCTCTACAATGTTTCAAAAATGTCTTATCATTTTCCGTTTTCTTCGGCCTTTCAGCCATGATCACACAGTCGTTGACTGTTTACATTGTCTCACAAGTCACAGCCCTGGAAAAGCAGTTCGATCTGAACAGTACAACAACTGGTATTCTCCTTGGCTGCAATGACATAGGTTTCGTCTGTTCCATTGTTTTCATTAGTCATTTTGGAAGCTACCGATCTATTCCTAGAATCATCTCTCTTTCTACCATCCTGTTTGGCATCTCAGGTATTTTAGCAGGTCTGTGCTACTTCTTTGATCCCTATCAGTTACCCAAGCTTTCAAAGGAGAATCTTAGGAATTCATCATTGGACCAGAGTTTCGTGGCCCCTTTGTGTGACCCGGGCAACACGACGTCAGATGGGTGTGGTGAGGAGGGTGCAGCCAGTGATTCTGGTAGTCCACAATGGATAGTCTGGGTTTTGGGTATCAGTATGGCTCTTCAAGGTATCGGAAAATCACCCCGGGCGTCTCTGTCAGCCACTTACATAGACAACAACAACCCCATCAAGACCAAAACCGGACTGTACTTCGGTAAGAACAAAACTGGAAAAATCATAAGAAATCTCTGTTAAAATATAATATATTGATCGGATCCGACAATATCATGAGTATATATGTTTATGAACCACTATCAAGTCGTGGCGGTAACAGATGATGTTATCCTGCGCCTTGTGGTGGCATCTGTCGTAAAGACATGCAAAGCCATGTCAATTATTAATTTGTCCGTTATAAAATCGTTCTACAGCTTTGCTGAGACCTTGAACATCATAACCGTGATCAGACACTTTTAAGCACGAGTTAAGAAACCCAAGCCTGGAGCTGCATGAATACTGCTCTACATACGGTTTCCGGTTTCTGGAAAGTTGAAGTCATTCACGAAACTGATTTTTAATGAACATGTTGGTGTAATATCATTGCTGAAGGACAATTATTACCTGAAGCTTAGACTATACTCAGCACCCTTTTGGTATTGTGGTATGTAGTTAACTTCAATGCCTTCAATTAAATAGTATACCGTGCAATCGTTTCTACATTTTTTATAATTCGTTGTCTGTATATATGATACATATTGCATCACTATGCTATGCGTTGGGTAATATTATAACGCTCTGGTGTGCATGGTGTGGATCTGGCTTATAATACGCACACATTCGATGGCTATTTATGAGTGGCATTGTTTGGCAAGGCGCTCAAATTCAAGATTTCCCCTGGTTTGGACCACATGTGTGTTGTCTTTCCACTGGTCCGTGTGAAATCCTTACACTGATGTTTGTGTTTCCCTCATGATGATACACCCGTGAACATCAGGGTTGGAACTGGTCCTCAGCAACCCATGCTTGTCGTAAGAGGCGATCCGGTGGTCAGGCTCGCTGACCTGGTTGACACATGTCATCGTATCGCAATTGCCCGGATCGATGCTCATGCTGTTGATCACTGGTGCGGCGTTAAACAACAAACAAATAAAAGATGATACTTCTGTTGTCCGTGCATTGTTGGTTATGTCATTCTTACATTAAGGTTTATGCCTTCTTTACATCTATGTTTGTGTTACGCTTCTATTGCTGCTTGTGGTATTCTTACAGTACTGTATGTAATGCTCTTTAATTGCTCTTTGTGGTATTTCTACCTTCCTGCTGGTGTTTTTTCTTGCACCAGATGCTTCTGCCATCCTCATAGTGGTCCTTGTGTTAACCCTGCCTTGCTGCTGTTATTGTGCAGGTATCTGTTCGACGATGTCGCTGTTTGGACCTGCAATATCAGTGATAATAGGAGGCGTGTTTAGGACCATCCCAGTTGATCTGCAAGGTCAGTTTGCGACACTAGCATCTGCTTTATACGTGAATATATTATTTCAATCATTCTTCAAACGTGAATACATTCTTAAATCATTTTTCATACGTGAATCCATATTGTCAATCAGAACCGAGTCAGAGACAGAAGCAATTTCTTATACTGTTACCCATGATATAAACCCATGTGCAGCTAAATTAACCTGTTAAGTATTTGAATTTCTCTAATTTGACACATTATTTCAATAATCTGTAATGTGTTACAAGGAAAAGACATATGATAGTTTTTGTTAGAAATATATATTAAACCAAGGAGGCATGCCTCACCTTGAGGTCTCAGTCCTACCACCTGCCACACCAGGATCTGAAGATTTTTTATTGTTTCCATGACCGAAATTATGCTTAAGCACTGTATTCAGTACACTGTACAATAAAAACAAACAAACTACTGTTATATACCCTCCAACGGTCTCCGGGGTCCTACAGATAACGTGGAAACGCATAGGAGGGAAGTTTGTTTTGTGGCATTTTTTTGTCGATTTCTCTATACATGTGTTTCTGTACCATTGTGCACTTCGGTAACATATATCATGTTTGATATATAGAGAATCTCACCCAAGTGTCTTCTGATATCAATTATATCAACACGAGTTGATAAAGTTACAAATATCCGAGGCTTGCCGAGGATATTTTACTTTATCAACGAGTGTTGATATATTGATATCAGAAGACACGAGGTAATTCTATTATCATCAAAATCACTCTTCATTAATTTTCAATGAAAATGTACATCTCTGAACATGGTACTGCCATTACACTTGCAGTGCAGCGATGTCATAGCATTGTGACGTCATCAAGTACATGACGTCATAGCATTGTCAGGGCATTGTACAAAATCTACTGTCAAAACGATATCTCCTAGGAGATATCGTTTGATCTCACACAAGCGATATCTCCTGTGGAACACAGTTTGGGATGATAAAAGTATATCTACATATACGTGTCTTTTCTCAACGTTACATACTGGTAGTTGCCTCAGGATATCTTTATTATCAACATATACCGTTTACTATGAAGAAGCAAAGTCGTGGGTGGCTAAACGTTCATCATTTGACTGTATGCACACGGAATCCTAGATTTTCAATAATTATTGTATTCTTATTGTATGCTCTAATAGATAATGTATTTTGTACAAAGACGTGGTTTGTTCATGACATGAGACCGTCATATACCAAAATATACACGGGTACTCTGTAATCTTCAACGAATTCACGTGCTTCTATCCAGTACATAACAAAAATGTAGGATCATATTTAATAATTACTGTTGAGGTTTTACTTGAGCGTATTCGGGAGGAGGCTCACTAATTAAACAAAGGACTCGCTGCATTTGTCCAACCCGCACAATAACACAAGACTTGAGCGAAGAATGTGACAGAGCAATGTATGACTGGCTGCTATTCGTGTTTATCCTTTCCCACCTACAACAGATAATCTTTTTTTTTAGATATTAGACAAGAGATGTCTGCTCTGTAGTACTTCCACCGGTGAAGATCCGGGTTAGAATATTGATCTTCAGTAACTCATACTTGTCGTAAGAGGCGACTAACGGGATCGGGTGGTCAGGCTCACTGACTTGGTTGACACATGTCATCGGTTCCCAACTGCGTAGATCGATTCTCATGCTGTTGATCACTGGAATGTCTGGACCAGACTCGATTGTTTACAGACCGACGCCATATAGCTGGAATATTGCTGAGTGCGGCGTAAAACTAAACTCACTCACTCACTCACTCACTCTATAGTACTTCACTCTTGACAAAGGCATCCGAATCTACACCCTTAAAATATCCTCTCTTTCTTTTTAACCATTGTAACCTCAGTCATTCTGTCTCCCCAGACACGGTGCTAACACCAGTACATCCAGAATGGATAGGAGCATGGTGGCTTGGATTTCTCCTGTTCGGCTGTTTGGGTGTCATCGTTGGAATACCTTTATTGTTCTTCCCGAAACAAATTCTTCCAACTGAGGAAACACAATCACCCAAAGAGGACGCTCCCATTAAGGAGAACATAATAGGTTCAAGTTTACTTAAATATAAAATCATGTCTGCAGTGCTCGGACAGACTAAAGCAATATATTTCACATAGTGTTACTAATCATACAGCCTGAACCTGGGTGATATTTGTACACTTGAATAGTCTAATCATTTGATGATACGGCAACTAATGCCGGCCATTTTCCGATTCTTCCCTTTGCTATAACTGTGCCCGAGGTTAACATTGCAAGTTCAATAGATCCCCATCAAGCTATGCATTTCAAAGGAACTGGTGGTCAGTGAATGTGTTGATAGCACGTTACTGGATTATCTGGTCTGCTCGCATCACCGCGTTGTCTGTTCTGGGCCGTCAAATAGCTGGAATAATGCTGCATGCAATGTAAGACATTAATAATAGACATTATGGCAATAATGAGCGAACTAAATTCATATGATTCCCGGGAAACGCTTTTCAGTAGCAACTAATATGTATTTTGAAACATTGTACTTGCAATTGACTTGTCCATCCAACGAGAGTTATGACGTTATTGGCCGGGGATTACTTGCCAGCTTATTACAAGGTTTTCTATTACATGGCGTTGAATTTAGAGTTGCCCCGGTCAGTGTTCCGTGTGTTGAGGAGTCCTGTCTACAGTCTGACGCTGACTGGCCTCCTCGTCATGCTCTTTATGTTGGCCGGAGGTCAGGCCTTCACATCCAAGTACGTCGAGAAGCAGTTCATGGCCCCCGCATCCACAACAAATATCATCCTAGGTGGGTAATATCATCAGTAAACATATGACTAGTCTAGTTATATCTCTGAATCCTTTCCTAATCGGTTGTTCTTCCTACGTCAGCTGTAAATTGAATTTACCCATTGCAGGTGTTTCAAACTTCATTTTAGGCATCCTCAAAGGGGGTATCGTAAAATTATTGTCCTCCTGAGAGGGTACATAGTCCCAAAACTTTCAAAGTAAATTTAAACTTATCAATTTGTTAAACGTAGTATTATTGTTATTTTAAAATATGGCTAAATGTTTCCACAATCACCAGCGGCTGAAGGGATGGCGTAAATCCAACTAGAGCCCATGCGCTCACTCATGTTAGGCAACATTGCTATTTCCACTGCAGCTGTGATTCGCGAGGTACCATATCCTGATCCGTATCCGTGAAGCGTAATTTTTCTAAAAAGTGACCAAGCTGGTCCATTTCACACACATTTAACACATACGTACCGTAAAAATAGTAGGAAAGTCTAGAGCGAGGCCGCTTACAAGCACGACCTGTGTTGCATGGGTACGAACTCACTGCGTTATTTTCACCAAATACATCAATATAGATTCCTCTAGATGTTGACCACGATCACCGAACTTGTACAAATTACTGACCATCCTCTCGCTACTGCGAAAAATGTATGAAAGTCCGAGAGCTCGGCTTACTCGCACGACTTGTGTTGCAGGGATAGAGAATCTCATCAGCCTTTCAGTTGGGACCTTCACTGGGGGACTTCTGACAAGTCGTCTAAAACTCACACGAGCTGGCTGTCTCAAGCTTATCATCAGCACCCTAACTGTAACAATATTGATCGGCTGTGATACGCCCAAAATCCATGGTTTCCATGACAACGAGGGGTAAACATATTAAAAATAATAAAGAATTTGAACAATTCAAATCAATGTTTTCTACAAAATATTAATACAGCAAATTGATGCAGGTCAAAGCAGTGCAAGGCGTTGCACCAGATAGACATGGTAGCCTGTCGTTGTTTCTTAATTCAACGGCAACTTTTTTTATTGAATTTCAAAATTCAGATCATTTAGCAATAGTCCTTAAATTGTACTCATAATGTCGATCGATTTGCTTCGAAAATGTTTTTATATAGTATAGATGAACAGAGATAAAGCTGACCTGTTTCCACGACGGCACACATTTCCACAACGGAAGGGAGATTATAAATAGTTGTATATGGTTTCATGTTGCCATGAATTCAAGGCGGAAGTGAGATGGGAAAACAGAACAAATACAGACACAATAAGCGTCTCAGACCTACACCACTTAAGGCTTCAAGCTAGCATGCTGTGATACGGTTGAAAAACTGTTCAAAGCGGCATTAAACCTACCTCACCCACTCATTTTCACCAAAGTGGTGAACGTCAAAGGCCCACACAACTTTAGGATATCCCCCAGCACCAGTTGTGATCAATGTGAAATTTAACCCAACTCATATACTATGTGCACTCGGTTATGTGGTATATTTTCAGAATCATCACATTTGACGACGGCATCAGATCGTGTTCGTGCGACAGCACCAGTTACTTTCCTGTTTGTGGGGACGACGGGATGACGTACTTCTCCCCTTGTTTCGCTGGCTGTACAAACCAAACTCTATCGGTACGGGACCAGCCACTGTGCTGAATATTGATGTCGCTAAATAACTTACTCAGTATTAACACGCGTTAACGGCAAATGAGGTTTAAGTTCCCGTATAGGTATATTTCACTTACATATTATGGCGCGTATGTTGCTGTTTGGTTTATAGCGTTATTCACACTGAGATAACATGTTGATGTTGGACCCAACTCAGAACAATGGCGGCCAGCACGTGTTCATACCGTTCATCCGGAGCGCCAGACAGGATAACAACAAGTGGCATATCTTTATGTCTTCTCGTTTGTGTGGCCATCATAATCTGTGCCCATAATGTTTAAAGAATTTGCAAACTGGCTCATCCATTTATGAGAATGGCATGATATATCGTAAAGCATTGCCTGGATAAAGAGATGTATTTTAGTGGTGTACACTCAAAAGTCAAACGGACACCTAAATGCATATTTGAAGGTTACTGGCTCTTGATTATCATAAACGTAAGTTTTCTGATGGAAGCTGGCCTTCAGAGTGACTCATATTGTTAACGTGTGTTTTCCCCAGATGTATGGAGGTTGTAGCAAGGTGACGAGCGGCCAGACAACGGCAGGGATGTGTGTGTCAGCGACTGTCCCTACTTCTACTACTACATTGCCGTCGACATGATCCAAAATCTGATCGGGTTCTTGCCAGTCACGTCAGTGTATCTGATCCTCATTAGGTACGTGACAAAAACAAGTCATTACATGAATCTCATTATGTCCATCATACATACAAAACATGAAACGTCTAATGACATGGACGTGGAAAACGTAGCATGGCAAGACTCTCTACTCACATAAGTTACGTCAAACAGGCGAAACATCATGTGACTCCCATCAGGTAGATCATATCCTCCAAACACGATACGACACTCATCAGAAACGTCAGACTTACAAAACAGGACATGCCACTCATTCGTTAATAGGACTTCATCACTGGAATACTTTACAGAGAGATGTTTCCCCATCCACAACCAGGTGTTCATCAAAGACAATGCCATTAAGAAAGTGGCATGTAACACATGTTATATTTGGGATTACACTTTCTCAGTAAAGTACAGATTCTTGTACTTTGCTGTGTTGAGTCCCTACACCCTCAGAACCCTCAGAGTCAGGCACCAAATCACCAGCACACAAAGTCAGACCTCTAACACAATGAGTCACCGCGTCTTCGACAAAAAATGGAAGTCGGATAACTGGTAGTCAGTATCATGGGCTTTGTGTACCCCTGTGATAAATGTAAATTGGGATGGCTCCCACGGCCGAAAACTATGAATACACAATGGCATATAGTAACTCATGCTGTATTTGGGATTACAAAGCCCGTGGACTAGACTACCAGCTGTACAGTACTAGAATCTGTAATGGGGAATTCTGAAAAGTACTAGAATCTGTACTTCACTGAGAAAGTGCAAATATAGCATGTGCTACAGGTTTTCATAACTTTCTCTGACAGCGGCCAATCCTCAACATTGATATCTTTCCGTAAATGATATACTCAATGGGTCATGCCAGGTGCCCAGTTTCACTAAATTTTAACAGGCCTGCATTCGTCAAAACGGTAGGCATGGTCGTCGCTGCATATTTCATGGGTGATTGATGTGGTGCCGGATTTTCTGTCTCCTCTGTGGACAGTGTTTCCCAATGGTGTTTCAGTAGTACCTGTATCATTCTACAATTGTACAGTGAAATGTTCTTCGACCTTGGGGTATATAGGTGAGCACATTTTAAGTTGTTGTTGCACCATATGTGAGATGCATAGCACGTAACATCTTGACATGGCAGTGCTTCGGGAGAACTGTATTTGTAACTTCTGTACACGGTCCTGCTTCGGGAGAACTTTATATGTTACTTCTCCACAAGATACTGCTTCAAGAGAACTTTATATGTAATTTCATCAGCACAAGATACTGCTTCGGGAGAACTTTATTTGTAACTTCTGTACTATATTTGTAACCTCTCCACAAGGTACTGCTTTGGGAAAACTGTATTTGTAACTTCCGTACAAGGTACTGCTTCGGGAGAACTTTATATGTTACTTCTCCACAAAGATACTGCTTCAAGAGAACTTTATATGTAACAACAGCACAAGATACTGCTTCGGGAGAACTTTATTTGTAACTTCTGTACTATATTTGTAACCTCTCCACAAGGTACTGCTTTGGGGAAACTGTATTTGTATTTCCGTACAAGGTACTGCTTCGGGAGATCTTTATATGTTATTTCTCCACAAGATACTGCTTCAAGAGAACTATATATGTAACATCAGCACAAGATACTGCTTCGGGAGAACTTTATTTGTAACTTCTGTACTATATTTGTAACCTCTCCACAAGATACTGCTTTGGGAAAACTGTATTTGTAAATTCTCCACAAGGTACTTGCTTCGGAGTGATGTAACATCATACATCTTCGGTAACTTTATTTGCATCTCTACAAGGTAACCTCTCCACAGAGCTTTGGGAAAACTGTATTTGTATCTTCGAGTTAAGGTACTTTCGGGTGAACGTTTCACAAGGTACTGCGAGTGAGTGAGTGGGTTAATAGTAAACGTCACACAAGATATTTTACAACGGGTGTTCTGCTGAGTCTGCTGATCACATAACATTCAACAAAATGGTATGTTCTACACCCTGGCTTCTTTATGAATACCTTTTATGCTGCTTGTGGCACGTATATCACACGTGAATTTTTGAGCGTTGAATGTTGTATTTTTCCAGGAGCGTAGAGAGCAAGGACAAGGCAATGGCGCTTGCGTTGTATGGGTTTTTGGCATCCCTGCTAGGTAGGTAATTAAAAAAACAGATACCCCACTTATTGTGCGTGTGATCATTACCGTATATTTACCACGCAAAGTATCGACAATTCTACATTCAAATTCATACAGGGTATATTCCTGTGTAGCCTGGTGGTTATATAAGCCTTCGCCCGTCACACCGAAGACTCGCGTTACAGTCACCACATGGGTACAGTGTGTGAAGCTCATTTCTGGTCTCCTCCATGATATTGTTGGAATATTACAAAAGCAGCGTAAGATCATAGTCACTCACTCATGTGTATCGAACACACACAGGCTGCATTCTCATTTGCTTTCAATTTATAAGAAGCTGTCGGTATTGTAGGGTCTCAACATACGGCAAGGACGCTGGGATTCCGAAGATTTCATGGGAGCGTTAACAAATTTTGATCGTTTGGTATCTCAGTGCGTATCCCCTGCTGTGTCATCGTGCTACGAGGGAAGCGTTGCTAATGTTCTTCTTACAATCACTGGTTTCTGTGTTATTGCTGATTAACATTGCATTAAAACATACATGCAATCGCATTTACTGTTTTATGATGTTATCGCATTTATGTGTTTTATGATGTTAAAGGCAGTTTAATCATAGTACGTCGTATTGTTAACTCATATGGTTTGACCATAGTATTGTTGACACATTTACGCAAACGGGCGGCTTCCAAATCGCTGATGACATGTTTAAAACTGTTTCTTGCATTCTGTTCAAGCATTCCTTCCTGCTCCCATCGTGTATGGCTACATCATCGACAGCGCATGCCTAATTTGGCAAAGGTCATGCGGAGTAAGAGGTGCGTGCGGGCAGTATGACCTGGAATCTCTGCGAGTCAGACTGAAAGCCACGGATTGCGCGTTGAGGGTTATTGGCTTGGTCTTCTTTAATTATCGCCTTCGTTGTTCTCAAGTTACAAGGTGGTGATAAACCAACTGATGAAACCCTTGAACTGACAGGGAAAAGGGACAAGAAGAGTAATTTGTCAGTCTAATGAACTAAACACGTCGTCAAACTGTCTAAATCTGGAGTAAAGCATTTATTAGATTACGCGGCTACAGCTTCCAGAGGGTATTCAAAGTCATCAACGTTGTATCCAACTCACCTGCACACGGAACTCTGAAAATGAACTTACGTGCGCGTATAGTTTGACCATTCAGCTACCCTTTGTCATTATTAAAAACTAAAATCTCCATAGAACAACATCACTGTCGCATTTACTGATATTTACGAAATCGCTTTACCGATAACTTGAAATGCAAAAGGGTTCTTAATATTGAGCTCTTTAATTTTGATTTTCTTGTGAAAGTACATATATGGTCATAGTATTTCATTGCAGTTTTTCAATATATGTTTATGTTGAAAGTAGAAGTTTTACAAACTGGTAAAGCCACCTATACGTGAAGCCCACGTTATCATTTGTTCACACTTTTTTTACTGGGTTTCGCAGGGTATGTTTTGAATAGAAAGTTATATCAGGTCTATGTGGCATGGTTCTTATCAAATCAGTGAGTGCTGTTTACTGCCGCTTTTACAGTGGGTTCCTATTGTAAATATCCTCCATTGCATTGTATTCGCTGTTCTCTTTCTTACAATCATATAAATAAACATAGTATTAAAATATTTTATTGATTGTGATTGTCAGAACCAACTTATTACATTCTGTAAACTGTTCTTCAGCTCTGTGAATGACGAGTACACTGTAGAACATTTTATACTTCACTTGGACAGAAGAAGTGTATCAGCCAGTTCGTCATCGTTAAAAGCAATAGACGCCAAGACAGTGAGGTCTAAAAGGAGTAGAAGAATTACATCATATACACTTCAAATACCAGTCTGTATTCATTCAGTGCAGAGAGTGAGTTAGTTTTACGTGGTTTGAAACATCACAGGGTGCTTGGTTAATTTGGTTGGAGGTAGCGCAGATGCTAGTTGTTAACCACTTTTGTTTAAAGCCATGAGGTTGATGCTTGCAAATTAAACCTGGAAACAATCGTTCAGAAAATGGGATTCGAACCAACGACAAAAGATCATACCGGTGTTCTTCTGTGTGGTAAAAGTGGCACTGATAATGGTTTTCCCGTGTCAGCATCATAGGCTGACGGGGACAAGATTCTACACTTGTAATTCTAAGTAATGATCGCAGATTTGGTAAAACTAGAAGAACCTTCATTCCAGCCGAGTCTCTTTTAAACCGACTGGAAAGTAAGAACATTGGAACACGTGACTAATTATTGTATAAGTTATAACACTTGGAGACATAACGCATATGACAAATGTCTGAATCTGTGTCTTTCCACCACCATGCACAGTGTCATGCAATTGTATGTAAACTGTCGGTACACTCTTGGACTGGTGTAGGTCATAAATCGTCCAGTCCGCGTCAAGCATTGTGTCATTAATTGTATGTAAAATACTGTCGGTACACTCTTGTTTAATGACTGGTGGAACATAAACGTCCAGTTCAGCGTCTGATACAGTCAGTATTGACACTGCACTCGTGATTATGTGATTTCTTGAGGATGTATTGATGCTTGATAACGTCATACAACGACACAAAACAAGTAAACTTTTACCATGTATCATTCTCTGAATAAAACAGCAGCGGTTCGCTCTACTTGCGTTAGACTTGTCATTTATTTATTCCTTGAGGGTCAATTTATCCCAGCAGTAAGTTCAGTTGAGGTTTGGTTAAGTTCCGTTGCTATGGTTAATGGTAGCATATTGATACTGTGAAATATATGGAGTTTTTCGATATATTTTCTTTAATGTGTATAGTTACAGACGCACTGAACAGCCCAATTACTTAACACTCGTCTCAGTAAAGCATATTATCAATATCCCAATACTAATTATGACCACTGTTTCACGAAACTGCCAAAGTTTGTGACTGTACTATAGGCCATGAGGCCGATATTACGAATAAACTTCTGTCTGTCTGTCTGTCTGTCATTATTAATATCAATGTTCCCTCAAGACACATGATACATACATCACACGGCGCATGGTTCTCTTTAATGTTGAGACAAGATTCATCACCCATACCTATGCTCAAACAAGGCACAACATATCAATATATTATATTACCACAAAGCACATTGTACATCTTCTCTTCGCTAAAATTCCACCACAACATTTTAAGTTTCAACCATAAGGCGTACCACACTCATTACTGTGTAGCCCATGGAGCATACATTACTAAGTCTCTCTAACACAATGGAACGTGTATCTCTCAGAAAGCGACGTGTATGACCGGTTTGAACAGTAATAAACAGTTATGTGGTGAACGGCACAAATACATATAGTGCCACACCTGCTAATCGTGTACCACATCATACAAAACCAAATGCAAAATTTTGTCTTATAATGTGGTGTTTTATTATGATTGCACCGTTTTGGTAACAGGTTTTTCCATTAAAATTGACAGTTATTTCCAACATCAGTGTATTACCAACAAAGCATATCAACCAAACGTACCTAAAAAGACAGACGTGGTTAAAAGTGAAAAGTGAAAATGAAAATGCACGTGCATGTCGTGACAACCCTACCAATGAAAGCGAGTCCCAAACTCGGTTGAAATCATTCTTGTGTTGACACAATCGCCATACTTGTGTTGACACGACGCCATACCACGACGTACCAGAGATCAGAGGAACCAAGCCTTGGGCCAATTGCAAAGTTGGCCAGATTGCACGGAGGGTAGCCAATCATTAGTGCCGATACAGTGCGTCGACCTTTGTTCGAAACACAATTCTGCTGTCACAGACCATATCCTGGTCCTGTGCTAACCGCCCGTTACCGCCCAAACCGACTGCATTGGGCAACTCTGCATCACAATTGGCGTTATCGACGACAATGGAGAACTGTGTTTTTTCTGATGAAAGCCGATATTGTGTTTCGACAGCAGATGGCAGAGTGAGAGTATGGTGAACGCGTGGGGAACGGTTTTCCAATGCGTGTATTGTTGAGAAAAGACTCGTAGGGCGGTCCAAGCATCATGGCGTGGGTGCAATCGGTCTGAACCAGAGGGTTGGCACCGTGGTGTTTCAGAATCACAGTCCAGGACGAAGAAATGGCGTGACAGATGCACGATATACTGACCCCATAAGACCCCACGTTGTGCCACAGTTTGAACGTCACAGAAATCACGCCTTCCAGCAAGACAACGCTTGTGCCCACACTGCCAGAGCAACACTGGACTTCCTAAGACAACGTGGCATCCAAACTCTACAATGACCTACACTCAGTCCGGATTTGGGTCCAATGGAACACCTTTAGGACGAGATTCAAAGAAGACTGAATGACCTCCAACCAAGGCCGACAACTGCGGGTGGACTCGATCAGGCATTTCGCAGAGTATGGACCCAAGTGCCTTTGGCCTTCATAAACCAGCTAATTCATTCCATGTACAGATGACACAACGCCGTCATCGATGCCCATGGAAGCCACACACGATACTGACTTTGAGGTATCATAGCAGTACCATTTGTGGTGAATTTGTTTGTGTGAAGTCCAAATGTGATTCCCGAAAATGTGTTAACAATAATTGTCAAGTTTTTCTTGATTGTTAAATAGAGCGAATTAAAGTGCGTGGTTTAAGAAACCTCTATAGGTGGGGCGTTTCTTTGCGGTTCAGTATATAAAAATGATGCATATAGATCAATCATATCAAATCAAATTAGACATTTGTATAGCGCTACATCCCCATATTCCTGATCGTATGCTCTTTAGAAAGAAGAATGGCTTTAAGACAAATCTCTTGATATTTTCAGAATTTGTTATTGTACTTTCTGACAATCATATCTAATCCAATTAGACATTTGTATAGCGGTAAATCTCCAGATTACCGTCATCGTATGCGCTCAGTCGTATGCTCTTTAGAAGAGAAGAATGGTTTTAAGAGAAAGCTGTTGATATTCTCAGAATTTGTTCTAATACTCTCTGACAATGCTTTTAAGAGGACAGTCCTTGCTCCAGTGAATGGCCTGTCCCGTATGTTGTGGTACGCAAGATGTAGCAGGCGTTGTTGACTAGCTGATCTAAGTGTCCTTTCAGACTTGGGAAGACTGACTGTTTCTTGGAGACAGACTGCAGAAAGTATATTAACGGGAATGTAAACAAACACTAGAGGTGTTTTTCATACAATTCTCTCTTAGCCAGGTAATGTGCACGTAAGTATGTGTGTGTTATCAGTCTGGCAGTCAGACATAGTGACCCTGTCCATGTACCGCGACTAGAGTAGACTGTTGCAGTATTCCAAAGGTGTATCTATATATCTCCTAACCCGTTTTATGGTCTGAAGCTGATAGTAAGCACCATTACAAATGTCGCCGTTAAAATGGTTCGAGAAATGGTCTCTGGCTGATCAAGATTGCCTCCAGTTTGAACTCCAATGACCTTGAACTTGATTTCGTCTGTTTCGTCTACAAGCACAGCACGTGATCCATAATACAAATAAGACAATTACATATTATACATAGTATTTATAAACGTTTAGCACAAGTTACATAAGACACATAATTGAGTGACCGAGTGAGTTTGTTTTAACAATTACACCGGATCCTGGCGTTCACGAGGCACGCAACTCTGCCACTCTTAGTACATATAGACGTGGATGTATACAGAACATGTGTTGTGATAATTACATCTCTTACCATCAGTAGACCTTCCGGAGCACAAATATCTATGTATCTCACAGCCTGTGGTTTCGTTTCATTCATTATATTGACCCAGTATGGCACAAATTAGCTAGCAGCTTTAACTCCAATAACAAAGCGTCTGTCGAACAAATGAGATATGTTTCCCTGATAAGTTCACAGCTGGCACAGATGTGTACTTCATGACACCGCCATCGTTGAGCCTGCAAAATACACAATGACGATCCTCTACTCAGCCAATCAACTGCTCCCAGTGTGATTTTTGTGCGACATCTGACGTTTTCATGCACCCAATTCACAGATTGATCTGAACCTGTCACCCAAACTGTAAATAACTTCGTCTCGTTGTTTTCGTTTCCACACAGAATATGTGAAGCCATCAGTCAGGTTATAGACTCCAGAACGTACGTTTTACCCAAACGGATTGCAGGTCACGGTGAGTACTTGTTAACACTCTATCGATATCTACGCAATCTCTATGTAAGTAACTGAGTTAAGTTTAATGCTTCAAACATTATCATAAATTGAACATGAAAATCTACACGTATATTCACTCAAGTGCTGACGACAACGACCTGTGACATGTTGAGAGGCAACACTATATTGGAACTTAACAAGTGAGTATGTTCAAGGAAAATTTAGATCTACCACATTATATCAACGTAGGATATATATATTTTAACTTAAGGCTAGATTTGTCTACAATCGCTAACATCTGAAGGGATGGTGTAAATCCAACTAGGGTCCATGCAGGTAGCAAAGGCACCGTAAATCCCCATGGTCCCTAGCATGGTGATCTACCTTCAGTTGTTGGCGATCTATAGCCCAAATATATACTGTCTTGTCCTAATTTGAAATCCAGTTTTAGAGGGAGATGCCAGGTTTAATTCTTGATACTGTGATATTCTACTTGGTTTTACTGTCCTTCGTTGACAGGTTTTAAAATGTACATGTATTTATGGTGAATTTACAACTTGGTTTGATAGTCATACTGACAGTTAATGTAGTGCCAGGTTGTTGTGACATGATGG